TACTCGTTTTTTTTTCTCCATGCTCACCACGTACACTCAAAAACACTGTTTGTTTGCCAGATAGTTTTATGATTGTTCAACTCAAAAAGGAACGTTCTTCTGCATCTGCCACCCCTAGGAAAGGACCAGATATCTAAATAACAGTCTAATCATCACAGATATGATCCTTTTTCTGCCCCCCACGCGATGTTTTCGCATGGTTAGCCAACACAAAAGCAGCAGTCAGAAGGCTGTACTGGCTCACAGAGAGGTCAAGCCACCCAGCCGAAGCCCAGAGCGATCCACTGCGTGCAAATATGTGCACCGAGTGCATTTGCTGTAACAAGAAGTTCATCACCTGCAGCATCTGTGTGCATTTGTGTGTGTATGTGCATGATATAGTATATATGATATGTAAGGAAAAAATACTTGAATTTACACCTTCTTTATGAGGACCCCCAGACTGCCAGGACAAGTGTCTTTATAATTAGAATTTGTTGTTCATATATGTTGTAATATGAATGCTAAACACATGCAGTACACAGTACCATGAATAAGACATCTCCTGTCTAAACAGCCATTAACCCTTGTGTGGTGTTCAGGTCTGTGGGACCCATTTTCAATGTTTACCAAAAGAAAAACTGATGCGATTTATGATTTTTTTTAACCCCAGATTCCTTGGTCTTTGCTCATTTTCTGTGAAGAACATATAAAATAACCCATTTTCAGTGTCTTCACTCTGTTCACCCCCCACACATTTATATTACACATGTACCCGCGGAGAGTAAAAGTGTGGAGGCGCTGTGTCCTTTCACTCTGTTCTCCTCCTACTTGGCCTGCTGTTGGTGTGTGGGTCTGTGTGTGTATGTGTGCGTGTGTGTGTGTGTGTGTGTGCGTGTATGTGAGGGTGGACAACATGGACAGGCTGCTGACTGGCTACAGCTGCTAAAGGAGAACCCAACGCTGGCCACTTGTGATATTTTAAACATCTGGTATTGTTACATAAATTGTTATGGCTGTATAGATTAAAAAACAATAATGTGGTGAGTCCACCAGACCACTGAGTAACAAACACATCAACACCACACAAGGGTTAAGCACAAGTTGTTCATTTTTCAGTGCCTAGAAAAAAAAAAAAACAGAAAACATATTTAACAGCAGATTACACAGAAGCCTCAAAAAACTAAATCTAATTTTTTGTGTGTCCATCCTTCGTCTTTACTACTGCTTCCATTTTTATTAGTAGACTTGCTTTCAGTTTTGCAAAGAAATCTGCAGGGATATTCTTGCATGCCCCCAAAGTTCAGTCTCAGATGCAGGTTATAGCTTCTCATGCTAGTAAGTATTCCCAAACACACCGAATGATGCTGCGGTCTGGACTCTGGGGTGTTCAATCCATTGTTCTGGGAACACCAGCAGCTTCTCTGGTTGATTTACAAATATTCCTTTTGGTCCATTTTCTTTTCTCAGCAACAGCTTCTTGACAGCTACACATCCTTTCAGACACTGTGGCTACTCACAGTGGAAGGATGGACAGAAACACCTGTGGATGTTTTCAGATCTGAAGCATAAGTGGAGCTTGATTTTCTCCTCTCTCTCAAAGATAAAAGCTTTAAGTGCTGTTTATCTGATGGTGATGGGTTTGGTGGTCTAACAGGTCTTCTACGGTTGTTAAAACTCCTCCATTTACTCTGTATCTTTTCATCATTTAAAATAAAAAGAATCTTTGTCTTTTATCTTCCTTATGGAAGTGGGTATATCTAATTACATCTAACCTTCTTAGACATATCTCCTGAAAAATGAATGACTTGTACTTAATGGCTCATTTAATTAGAAAGTAAATAAATGACGAGAACCTTGGACTTTTGCACAATATTGTTTGTCCAAAAGTATTCAAACATCCCTGCTAATTAGTGAATTTAGCTACTTTAAGGTGCACACATTGCTGACACTCAATCACACATAAACACAGCCTGCATAATCCCACTGAAAAGCGTGGTCAATAGAAAGGGACTCCCTGTTTCAGCCCAACATAAGCCTAAGGTCACCATGGCTAATGCGTCTTTGTGTGTGTGCATGAGAGAGAGTGAGAGAGAAAGAGAGAGTGAGTGAGAGAGAGAGAAAGTGAGAGTGAGTGAGTGAGAGAGAGAGAGAGTGAGTGAGTGAGTGAGTGAGTGAATGGGTGAGTGAGAGAGAGTGAAAGAGAGAGAGAGAGAGAGAGAGAGAGAGAGAGAGAGAGAGAGAGAGAGAGAGAAACTCATAACTGTGAGTATGAGGTGTACTTATCTCTCTGTTTTACATTGCTCACAGCAGGGGAATGTAAAGAAAGCAATCCACAGCACAGTTGAGGTTAAAGAATGGATTCAGAGACAGACACAACAAGCATAAGCAGGCAGCAGGGTAGTGTTTGGCGATACTGTTAACATTCAATATCATGATATTTTCCAAATATAACATTTCAGATAATACTTAATAAAGTTCATCAACGCAGCCATCCTGAGTACTGTTACTGTAGGCTATAAGAATGTCTTACAAACCTGACATGACTTGTTTTGACCAGACTGCTCTGTTCTGCTTCTATTAAAATTACACCAAAGGGAATCTTTTTTACAGGATTGTAAATGTTAACCAGACAGAAGTCACATTTCCAGAAGGGAAACTTGCCATTTATTTAGCTGTAATGAAATGTGAACGGTTATTTTTTCCCCCCAGATGTGGCCCCATTAAATGCCATTCATCGCAGTTAATAGTGATGCACAGTCTGACCAACTGTGATATTTATGGGTATCAGTAAGTGTTAATAAAGAGATATTTGGTTAACCCACAGAGAACTTTGATTGATATGAATTATTATTTAAAAATTATTCCCCATTGGAATTCAGTTTTTTCCACAAATGCCCAAAGTGTCATCTCAAACACTGACAACTGCCATGCTGAGTGTTTGATTAACTGTGCATAAGCCTAGCAGTCAATTAGGTTTTTTGTTATCTATCAATACCGCTAAAACTAAAAGTCACACTGCTGTGTGACACCAATACTGGTACACTGGTATTGATGATAAGCTACCCAAACAAAAGTCATATGCATTCTTTCTTTTCTAATAATTGGCTAAGCATCCAACTGATGATTTGCCAAATTTTGAAGTCCGGCTTCTCTTAGTTACGGTTGCTACAGCTGTAAAACTTTCAGCTCAGGCTACATGGTAGCATCCGTAAGATTTGTACTAACAGACTAAAATGTTCAGTAGCAAAAATAAAAATGCGAAAGTAAACAGAGGAGTACCTTTAAAACATTTTTCATTCAAAAATAAACAGCCTTTACAAGACGCTCAGTGCAGAGAACTGACCAAATATGAAAGTAGGCAAATTTAAAGCACAAAACAGGATCCTGGAAATCACGTTTAAATGAATCAAACCAGAGACGTTGTTTACTCACTCGACGTTAAAGTGGTAGGCTTTCATGCCTAATATGGAGAAAATTGTGGTGACTGAAGCTAGGGCTAAAACTGATGCTGGACCCAGTCAGAGCAACAATAGATGCTGATGAGGGCTCATCACGTTTTAGAAAACTTTAATGAAATAATACAGAGTATGTGCATTAATATTTATCTTTACACATAAATGCTTTAATCAAAAATGTGAGCACTGTACAGCCCCGCTGTGACACTGAGCTGGGAGTGCAGTTGATTCAAAATGTTTTCAGCTTCACAAATGAAATAAAAACAGGACCATCCTCCAGATGATCAGGACAGTGTGTGTCAGACGTTCTACAGTCCTCAGCAACACCTTTTCACCATATCTTAGTCTAATAATTACTAACAGATAATAATCTTAATCATCTATGAGAAATTATTAAGAAATAATAATAGACTAATTTACTGCCAGTGCTGCTCTCACAGCAATTCTTCCCTCACCTGATGGAGGTAGAAACATTTAGAGTTGACAGTGATTGGCTGAGAGGTGTGTCAATCATAATACTGCAAACAGTCAACTGCCTTCCATGACAACATCAAACTTGTCAGGTAGGGATTATACAAGTCTATTCAGATGATTCCTGATCATTCGAGCCCAATCAGAACACAACATTAACATTCTCTGATTCCAGGATGACAACTGTAGGACGTCTGTAGCTGCGTTCCAAAGCCTTGGCTGCAGCCGAGGTAATGCAGGTCCTCTGTAGGACTGTCCTATGAAGACCCCTCCTTAGTAGCCTTTTGGCCACACAAATTGGACAGTCCTAACGAGACACCAGAGCTGTGAGGGAACTGGTGAGAGAAAATGGAGCACCGTTGTGTTTGTTGATTTTTCATTTCTTTACGGAAACAGAGGAGATGTTCTTGTGTAGTACGATAAACTACATATATAAATACTTCTAAATAAAACATGATATTTGGACGAATGCTTTAATTAACCAGTCATTTTACACTTAATAAGGTAACAAAGACAAATTCAAGGACATGAACAACTTACATTTTAAAACAAGCTCTGCTCCAACGGCTGTGTTTTCCACTATTTTCATGATGCTGTTTTTTTTCCTTCGCATCGTTTGTGCGCAGAGAACTGTGGATAACCGAAGGCCTAGAAGGATACATCTGATGAGTCCTTGAAATCACTCATAATGTAGGCTGCATTTCTAGACTGTATACGGCTGCAGCCTGGGCTTTGGAACGCAGCTACTTCACCAGACATGATGGAACACAGGAAGACCTCGACGGATCACCAAATTTGCCAGACCTCAGTCCCAATTCTCCCAAGCAGCAGGTGAAATGCTGAAACAGGCACACACAAACTCCAGCTGAAATGTGCAACCAGTTTGTGGAAGACTG